CTTTCATTTGGCATTCAGTGGAATTGCTTTTATTAGCGTATAAATCAACAGTGCAAAAATCGTAGCAGCGTCTGGTAGAATGTTTAAATTAAATTTATGCGCCATTTCGAGCTGTTTACAAGTTGCCTGAAGATGAAGAAGCGAAAGAGCTTTCCGACTTCTGCGCTATGGATGTGTAAACAGCGCCGTCAGGCAAAACTTAATGCAATCAGTTGGCGGTGGCAACAGTCACAATAACAACGATAATAACAAGAAGAACAACAGCAACAACAACAACAACAAGAGACACGCACACAGTTGCAAGATAGAAAATGTTGCGCTTAAAAAATTATATAAAAATCTCGCCTTTACTAAAACGACGAGAGTCTAAGCATTTTTAATACATTTGCTATTTTTATAGCTTGGCCAAGATAAGCAGAGGAGGGGAAGACAAAAAATAAGAATTGATGTTGAAGGCCAGTAAACGCGCGTGCCCACCACGACTCTAACACTGACTGCCCCTCTGGCAAGCCGTTTGGCATTATGTGCTGAACATAATAATAAAACTATAAATTAAATTAACTCATAAAAATTCCGTGTGCATAAAAACGAAGACCGTTGGCTCTACTGACTGCCACACTGGCCGGTAGCCCATGGCGTGTGAAAGACGAAAACTTGAATAATAACTTTGTTTTTTCAGCCAACTGAGAGCGACAAGCAGACAATGGCGTAGGGCGGCCCTCGACATGGGATATCTATCTGTGCGAGTATACTATATCCCAATGAACAGACGCACGCCCCTTCAATGCCATGCCGCCGTTTGCTAAACTGCCCGCAAGAGACCATTCCATTTCATTTCGTTCGCCAAGGCAGTCCAAGGCTCTGCTGAGCTTTTGGCAACACGCTCACACACACACAACTCTACTAACATTTTATGGCATTCTGACTATTCTCACTCTTCCGACTGTTCCGACTGCTCCGACTGCTCCGACGCTCCGAATGCTCTTGCTGCATACATATAGGCGCTTTGGCTTGTAAGTAGCTTGTAAGTCTGTCTTTGTCGGCGCGCGGCCATCTTTGCACGAGTATGTTTATGTGCCGCACATGATTTAAATTCTTGTCCGCACACCAAAAGCAGACATATACAGAGCTTCTACGCGCATATTTGATTTGATTTCATTGCATTGGTGCTACCGTTCCCTTATTCTTTCGAAGAGACGCGACGTGCCTGTAAATATTTATTAATGATGCCAAATTCTCCTGGTCATCTTATTTTGGGTTGCTGTTGAGTCAGCCGCTGACCGGTCTGATTTTTATTGCGTGTGTGTGGTACAGTTTTGAGCATAAAATGCGCGCCTTTAAGCTTAGATGCGCTTTTGATGTGCAAAAATGCGCCTTTTATCGCTGCGAAGTGTGTGCTTAAATTTTTCTCCTCTGAAGGATGCCTTTGTTTTTTAAGAAGAGCTGGAAGTCATAAATAAGCAGACGCTTGAGCTGATTAGAGACTTGCAGCTGCTCCAGCACTTGTTGATTGTGCTCATAGATGCGACGACATTTGGCAATTCTTTTCTTGACTCTTTCAATTCGTGCATACCTAATAGATTTGGAGTGGTGATGCCGCTGACTTTCCATAGTTTTGTGTTAGATTTTAGTTTTGTACTGTGTTTCATAGACAATTTTGTTACAACATTGTTGATTACCATTTCAAAACGAGAAACATGATGTTAAGAGAATCAGATTTCAAGTAGTTAGCTAAGACACTTTGATATTTAATGGCTCAAATGTGAGGATTTTATACATATGAGCAGGTGTTCTGTTGGAGCTAATAACAGAAATGATATAAAGAAACATGTTTTTTTTAACAAATGTTATAATTCTGAAGAAACACATTTCAAAATTTAATAAATATTTATGTTATATTGTTATTTATTTAAGACTTGTTTGATGGAGAAACTAAAGAATGTCACGAATAATGGATACACACTTGGAATGCACACTATTGAAAAATACGTCAGCAGCATTACTCGTATTTTGCCCGTATAAAAAAGTAGCGCGGTGCGTGTTAACAATAATGATGACGTTTAAAGCAATTACAAGCGCTCATACCCAAGCAGGTCACCAGTCTGCCAACTTGGCCACTACCAAAACGATGTTTTTGCTGCTTTTACTTCTATGCTGCATACTAATGCAAATTTTGCCGAGCATACGCTGTGTACTCGTATACGTAACGCTGCTCGGCCTGGCAAAAGCAAATGCCAAAGCTACCAGCAGCCGAAACATTTTGCGTTGCGTGAACAAAATAGTTTTGTGTTGCGGTTGTTTTTGCTTTGCACTGCCTGTGGTGGTGGGGACGACAGCAACAGCAACAGCAATAGCAACAATAACAATGGCAGAAACAACAGCAACAACTGCGACGGCAATTACCGAGCACACAAACACACTAGAAGAAGGTTGAGGACCATGCAGCCATGGGAAGCACTTGAGTTGCAGTTGCAGTTCTTTCGCGAGCTTAACAAATGCATAACTAAATTGTGGCTAGCAAGCGGTAGTTCCAGCCCCCTGCCACACTTGCACTCTTCCACTCTCCCACCTCCTCATCTCTGCACCACTCACCACTCACCACTCCTCTCTGCAGCTATCAACAATAGCGCACAGCTTGTGGGCGTGCACCAAACAAGAGTTTTGCATGCTGGTGGTGGCTGCTGCATTTAGTGACACATTTTAGTGGTTGCCTTAGCAAATTGCGGTTGCAGGTAGAACGTAGAAGCTAGACTGCATCGTGCAAATCGAAAGATGTTGTCGCAAAACGCCGCGGGTTATGCAATGGCTATGCCTGGACAGAGCAAAAGGTACTCTACAACACAGAACACAGAATGAACGTCAAATCAAACGAAACAGAAATTGACTTGCACATGAAAATGAAATGAGCAAAAGAAAAACATGAACGCTTTGTATATAAATAAACGGAATAATAGAAACGCCAGCTCCCCGGCGAGGAGGCAGGGTATCGAGGGGTTCGCTTTGGGGGACGAAATCCATTAGTGTGCATTTCAGTTTAAATCAACTCAGCCAGTTCGAGCTCGTTGCTCTGCGTGCTGTGTGTAAGCTCGACAATCATTCAAGCTGACAGGATGTGCGCTTCAGTGAGCTGATTGTGAGCGAAACTCAAAATGGGATACATACTACACAAATACTCGCACATTCATACTCGTACTTGGAACTACACATGGCTTTGCTATAGCATTGAGTGCGCAAATAATGTAAATAAGTGGCAGCAAGGCCACAGCGATGAATGTTGAACATAGAAACGATGGGTGAGCTCAAGTGACAGATTGGCATTTTGAAGGTCAGGTCGAATGGACGAGAGCTGTACCTTAAGGCTGCTGGAAAAATGCAGGTTTAAGATTGTGTATTTAATTGCCATTAAACCAGTACACGCACACGTGCAGCACGACGCAATCTTCCTTGCCACTTGCCACTTACTAATTGAATTTATTCGCCAAGCCGCCGACGACGCCCACAATGACAACGCCGAGGCTGCCACTTAACAACTTCCTGTGACGCACACAGGCAACCTCGCACGTCGGAAACAACTTGAACGATATATGTGTGTACATACATGTTGCGCCTAGAAGCAAGGCACAAAAAGCGCAACACCTATAGGCCGATGATAGAGATGGGTACGTGAAAAATACTGATTTATTTAATCTATTCAAAGTAGGCCTAAATGGCTATTTTAATTTCAAATATTACAATACTTTTTATTGTCCAAGTACATAGTCGTATAAGTAAAAACAATTGACAATAATTGTGCATTGAAATTCAAAAAATTGAATTAACAATACATCTTTTGTCAAGTATATATTTCAATGTGCAGTTACAATACATGTACAAAGTTACCATCGGTATCGCGAACTCTATATATAGCTGACTGTTGAATATTAAAAGTCTATGTCTTCATAAATTACGTAGGGGAAAACTGATAGCTCCAGCACTGAGCGATGCTATAAATACACATTTTCCGAAACTTATTACTACTTGTATAACTAGCTCGGATATCTGCTATGAAGCATTCTCTAGGAAACGGTAGCCAACCAGACGCCTTCCCGCTCCCTACTTGCCTGAAAGATATGTTAATTTAACAAAAATTACAATTGCAACGAGAGATGCGTCATGGTGGCTGGCACGATAAGCGGCAACGGCAGAGCCCGTGTTGTCTTTTGCTAGACTCTCATTAAGCATATGGCGCATGTGGGGGCAGTCAACTGTGCAATAGGGACGGAAACAAGGTGTAAATATGTTACAACATCGTAATATTTTTTATGCTTTCTAGACAACAAGTAGTACCTACAGCTAGCAGCCCTTTCCCTTCATCTGTCTGCTTGTCTTGTTTTTTGCCTGCCTAACGCCAAGCCTTTACCTTCCGTTCCTGTGTGTCGTCTAGGCTGACAATTTAAACGCCGGTGTCTGGCTGCTTAAGTAAGTAATAGGTACTTTTTGCCGGAGCCACTGCTACAAACGGTGGTGCTTTGTTGTGGGTTTTGCTTTCTGCTCGGTTAGCCTGGCAAGGTTTTTAATAAATAATTTCAAGCCACACATTGTGTTTACTTTTGTACGAATAGTACATATGTAATTAGAGATGTATGGTGTTGGTCGTTTGTGGTGAGGTGCATAAAAGCCAATGCTTATTTTAAAAGCGTCTTAATATGAATATGACTGAACTTTATGAAGCTTGATAAGACAAAAGCAGGAAAAATTTGATTATCATTACCCTAAATGGTTAAGTTTGACTAAATTTTAAAACTTAGTAACAGCTTCCTCTGAACTTAAGCTAAATAGACAAAAAAAAAAAAACAAAAGGCATAAGTAAGAGCTATTTGTTAGTGCTAGCAGAGTTCTAAATTCAGAACACATCTATCTCAAATGTGGTTTTCTCTTTAATTTAGAATTCCCACCACGAGTACAAAGCTTCGAACCTAAAAAGCTCTGCACCCCACATCAGTCCCCGTCGGGCCTTGAGATCGGCAGCAACTATCGCGCAATTGTGCTTCGTTTTTTTTTTCGTTCATACAGCGAGATCCACAATGGATGTGAAAGTGTTCAATTAATTCAGTAAAGTACAAATTTAGCTAAATTGTGCCCAGAAATGCAGCGAAAATTCAATTAGTAATGCAATTAGTGCTGGCAGTGTGATTTGGCTGCATTTCGGCAACATAACCTCAGATTGGCTACAATTGACTTACACACCATACGAAAGCCATTTACTTGAAAGTGCAGTAATGTGCATTGACGCCGCCTCGCTTCTCACCTGAATTCACCACAGCTGTAAGTTCTCTTCATTTTATTACATCGCCTCTCTTTAGAACTTAACATTTCGAGAGAGCGTAATAGATCAAAATGCGAAGGCGTGTGTATTGCAAGCCGTTGAACTTATAACAATTACATATATACATTATGTTTGCCATATGTTTGCTGCATTTATAACAGTGTAATTTTCAATTGTTGTTCAATTTATTCATTTATCATTGTAAATAATGTTCTACCTCTCAGCGTCAAATGCTACGCAGGGGAGACATTTGGCAAGAACCGTTTAGTGTCGTTTTGTAATTTTTGGACTCTTTTTGAAACTCTGCGATAGACCCTGTCCACAGTGCCTTCTAAGTCTTTTTTTTTTTTTTTGAAAAGCAGTGAAGACCCTATCGAAGTCTGGAACGCGACATTAGGCTCGCTAAAAAGTTCATAGGCGAAGAAACAAATTACCAAATGTTCTGCTTTTGCATAACGTAAAGTTTCGTTGCCTGGAGGCCTCTTTGACTAGAGCTAGCCCAATTTCGTACGATATCATCCTTCAGTTGGTAGGTGTTGAAGAAGACAATGAGTTCTCAACATGGACTCTTGCGATCCCAATAATACCTCCAAGTTCTGCTTCCATCCCGTACACATTCGATGCATCTTTATTGTAGATTGTTTTTCCTTCGTCGTTATGATCTATTCCATATTATCAGACAGGTCCTCTGCGTGAGTTATTTGTGCTTCCGTTGGGCATCGTTCGCTATATCATCTGCTAGAATAGCGAATCTATTACTGTGACTTTCGTCGCCAAATTTGTAACCAAGGAGATTCTATGTAAAATTTGTTTTCCATTGTTACTAATGTAAAAATAAGTTATTGGCCGCATGTAAATTTAATTATAGCTAATTTCAAATTTGTTAAGCAATGACTTTGAGGTGCATGCGGTTAGGTGTGCAATAAATTGTGCGTTGTCTATGAATGTTATAAATTCCCATTTGCGGTTTGCCATCTTAACTATCAATGGACGCAACATTTTAAATTGAATTACTTGTATAAGTAATGAAAGCTACTTACGAGTATATAGCATTAATCAGTAAGTGTCTTAATAATACTCTATAAAAAAAAGTGTAACAACTATAAACTGCATTGTAGATGTTGATATTAGAAATGGTTCATTATTTTGATGTACAAGTATGTAAGTACATATGTATGCCATTAACTTCTGGCGTATTTGTTTAAAATGATGCGTTTCCAGCAAAGATTTGTTCAGTCTATTGTTCAGCATATATCAATAGAACATTTGATTCTGTCTTGCAGTGGCGACCAACTGAACCAAATAACTACCACAAATGAATTGTGTTCAATGCAAAATGGTCATAGAACGAATGTAATGGATATTGGCGCGGCAGCAGCTGTCACATTTTCCCACTGCAGCTTTGCAAATGAGCACCATCAGACCAGAGTTTGAAAATGTGCGCCAAAGCGACCGCCAATTGCTGTCCATTTCAAAGGCCAATAATTCATGTAATTACACTAGTAATGGAAGCTCCGAATCTGTTGAAGCTCATATCAGAATAAAGTTTTATCCTGATATGGTCAGCTTGGGCTTTGGCATGACATAGATTTGGCATTAAATGGTCGCGCACATGGATTACTATTAGGCTGCTCAGCAATCATTTTAATTTGGGAGAATGGGTTGAGGAATGCTGTTGACCGGATTAGAAACGACTACAGACTTTTGCAACACTGCAGTTACTATTTATGTATGCACATTAAATGTTATCAACATACATACATAAATAGCCCGTCTGCCATTTACAAATCCAATCAAGCGGCACACTACTTTGGAAGCACCCTCAGAAACGCCCCAAACGCTTGGGTTTCATACTTTTCCAGAGCGGGGACCCAACGAAAGCCAGCGACTAATTAAAACAAAGTGTCGCGGTGTCTAAGCTCTAACCTCGATTAACCCTGTGCCGCCCAATTACACTTCATTTAATTTTTAACGCTGCAGTCGCACGCATATTTTGACATTTTGACATGACAACAACAATAGCAACAACTATGTAGAACTAGTATGTATAACAACACACGCGCACATAATCACATACTCATCCTCGTAGTCCGTATACGCCCCGAGTTCTTTTGAGCCGCTACCACTGGGCCTTGACTCTAATTTGTTTATGGTTATCGTGGCAAAAATTTCGAAATACACCCACTAAAAATAAGTTGAAGCTGTGTGTGCGGAGACAAGAGGCGTTGCCAGGCAAGTAAAACTAAACAATAAGTGCCATTGCAAGTGTTGAGTGTTGAGTTTTTAGCGCTCGAAGAGTTTTTGTTTTTGCCAGCCGATTTGCCAAGTAGCAGCATAACCTATGAGTACACTCCAACTGGTCCGGGGGTTGTGTGGGTGGCTTGCCGCTGACAAATGGCGCACGTTTTACATATGTAGTTGTGTCAGCTTTGTGCCACTCGGCTGCCGCCTCTTTCTATTCGGAGCCCCTGCACATTTTACACAAAATGCCGCAAACGTGTGCGTGGAAAATTTGTAAAGTGCAAAATTTATGCGTAATGTGCGGCACCCAAAAACACTCAGCTACTCTCCCCGCCCCCTTGGTAAATTTGTGCTGCGGGTTATACAAATTTCAAGAGCCCCGGCAACGGTGAAGTCGTTGTATGAAGTGTAACATTTTGAAGTGGCAAAAGTTGCAGGCAGTCAGCCGAAAATATAACTGTGTCTAGTTTGCTGTCTGTCTGCCTGCCTCCTTGGATCTGTATGTGTGTGTGTGTGTGTGTGAGTGTGCGTGCGTTTAATTTTCTCGCCAAACTAAAATGTTTTGGTAGCAACAGCAGCTACATCAGCAACAGCAGCTATTGGGTTTTTTTTGCGTTTAGCTTCGCGCATGCAAATATTTGCTCCTCAGCAACGGCAACCAAAATGGCGCCAAAAGGTTAGCGAAATAACTTCATATAAACATACATAGGAGTACGAACATACATATATTCTTCATATGTACATGTGCGGCACGTGGGTGTATGTGTGTGTGTGTGTGTGTGTGTGTGTGTGCGTATGTTTGGATTTAGAAAATTCATTAAAGTTTATGTTTGTGTACGTTTCAACAGTTTTACAGGGCAACCCACACTCACGCATACGAGTATTTGGGTCTCAAAAAAGACTTGACTTTTACAGCTGTAGTAAATTGTTGTAGTTGCTCATGTGGTTGCTGCTGTTGTGGCCCTGCGAAAATGCCTTTTTACGGTTAATGTGTTAAAACTAATTTAAATTTATTTCTTTCGTGTAAATTTTCAGGCAGAAAATGCGCCGCCTAAGATGCTTGCTTGTCGGCCTGTCGTCCTGCCTCCTGTCTGCCTGCCTGCCTATTTTTTGGGTCTTCAAAAGTATTGTAGGGTGTTATGTTTAATTTTGTGTACTTGGGGTGCTCGCAGCGTTCAAAAGGGGTTAATAAATAAATTACATATACGTGCCCATAAATTGGAAGTGCAAAAGTTCACAGAACAAAAACACACGCCTACAATGAAATAACTTTGGCTCATAATTAAATGGGACGGCCCCTGGGGCTAGGGGCGGACTTTGGGGCAGCATACATGGGGGTGGCAGCATAGATTGGCAGCCATTTGTGAACCGAATGTGCCGTAAAATTAGCTAAATTATTTGGACTGCGGCAGAAAGCAATTTCATTGGCCATGCCTAGCGCGGAGAGATATGAATTGAATTTTTTGTCTATCTTTTGCATCACATCGGCTATAAAACAATGTAAATATTGCTTTTGGCCATTTGTAAAAAAAGCTACTGCAAATTGATTCAAATATTGCACTGATATATAAAAAGTTATTTGCTGAATTGGTTTACTACATAAATGTCATTTTTGACGATTGAAATGCCATGCTATGTATACATACATATGTGTACGTGTATAATCACGATATATGTAAATGCAGTTTACTTTAACGATATAAAATCCAGCAGTATTATTTAATAAATTTGTGAAAAGTTCTTAAATTCCTGGACTGCTTTAATAAACATTTCTGTATCTAAAGAGGAAACGAACAACATAAATTGCATATGTATGTATGTGCATTGTCTGCCAACTTTTGAACAATGCTCTCTCGAAACCGCCTACTTAGTTATTTGTGCATATTATGGAAGAGGGCGTTTTTAATTAATGTTTAGGAAATAATAATAAACTAGCAGGGACCACATAAATACTGCAGAACAGCACATGCCAGATGTAACAAATTGAACCGAATTTTTACAGAAATAAAAGCAAACGACGATAGACATAAAGAAAATGCAACTGACTTTAAAACTAGTTTATATTCTACAAGACGCGATGCCTATGGGTATATGCCACCAATATTTATGGTCAAGCATCCAAATCAAATTACAATAATATCTAATAATCGACTCCGGCTAGAGCCGTTTCGCAATTCACAGACAAGACAAAACAAAAATTTGATAAACGTTGAGTTTAAAAATAATTCTATTCCACTTCTTAAATTTTTAATAATCAAGAGAAATTAAGATCGTATTACATGATTTGGTCACACACTTGGAGTCTAAGTCTCATTGACTTGGTACTGGACTTTATATGAACTGCTAATAGGGATAGTTTATTGACTGGCTTTATAATTGTATTATACATGCGTTGCTCACCTAATCATTTTAACCTTGCATTCGTACATGTATTGCATGTATTTTGAAACATTTAACTACCCAAGCGTAATGTAATAAAATTTCAGCTGCATTGGTAATTCAATTTAATATGAGCTAAACGCATTTCGAGATCCACAGAAAGGCCGAGCGTCAACATAGAACACAAAAATTGCATGAGTTTCATGAAATATCTACAAAAAGCACCACACACACTACGTAGAGAGTGTGAAGGTGCTCCATGGAGGATTATACTTATATACTGTGGGTGATAGCTGAAACAGAAATAACAGAATAACAGCAGCTGTTTCAGCTAATGGCTTCTCTATTGGGTGCTACATTTAATTTAATTTTGAAACCA